CTTTTTAATTCTTGTATGATTTCCTCGTCACTTACAAAATTTAGGCAGGGCGCATAAATTACTCCTTTTATTGTGTTTAGATTGTCTTGGTATTTGACTGTCACTGGGCATAGATTACCGAGTGTTTTCACTTTTAAAAACCGCTCAGCTACTCTTGAGTTACGTGTCAGTATAAGCAATGATCCGTCTTTGAGTTGCTTTACGTTTTCTATTTGAGTTGATATTGAGTCTATTGCTCTTTTTATTACGAATGGGCTTAGTTTTTGTAGTTCATTGTTGGCTGCTGTAATTGTTATGTATTTGGGTTGGTTAAGTGGTGTTTGTTTATATGTAAGTGTGGGAAATGTGTAATCGGTGTCGTCAAATTGGCTTAGTATTGCGAATCTGTTTGTTGATTTGTCAGGTGGCTCTGGTTGTGTTGGCATTTTGTTGTTTGTTGGTATGTTGTAGCGGTTCCTTGTTTACAAAGTGGTTGTTATGCTGATGCTCCACTAAAGTGCACAAAAGCGAAATATGATAACGGGTTATTTTCTTATTGTTATTACGCGAGCTAAGAACACTTGTATGAACACGTCCGAATAGTTTAAGAGTTAGTCGATGACTGTACTTAAATCTAAATTGTACATTTTATTTGCAAATAATTAATTGTTAAAAAACTAATATCGCATTTGTGTGAGGCCACCTTAACAAAACAAAAAAATAAGCATTCAATTGCAAAATAAATATTTCAAAATAAATATATCCTGATAAGCAAGTATTAGGTTAAATCTCCTGAGAAGACACCTGTGTTGCTTACAGCTATCTTTTGAAAGTTTTGAAAGTGGATTTTCGATATCCAGCTCCCGTCCACTTGACGAAACAAATGCTCCCAAATCATCCCATTTGTCTGTTTTCGATGCCGAAGTTATTGTTTGCAAAGCACTTTCGACAGTCTTAGCAAAATCGGCGTCTTTTTTTTCCATGCGCCGCCGCTTTGCCGAAGGAGTTGGTGTTGTTTTTATGTTGACGGCGTCGATTCCAAATCATCCGTTTCCAAAAACTCGACTTCATACATGATATCCGTTGGCTGTAAAGATAAAAAACAATACTTATATACATATATGAAAGTCGATTAATTATATGCGATTTAGCCCTAAAAGCATTGATGAAAAGTCGTGCCGGTGCTATTGGTATTTTGGATTAATTGTTATAATATTTATGTAATTATATCGATATTACTCGGCAATAACGGCACAACTCAAAACTGAAAAAATAAGTCCTCACTGCTTTTAAGTGGCTAATGTCTCTAATCCTTGTATAATTGATGTCTAAGTAAGTTAATACATTAGTAAGGATTACTACAGTATGCAGTAAGGACTAGACATGGATAATACAAGGATTAGATACATCAGCCACTTAAAAGCAGTAAGGGCTTTTATTTTTTCAGTTTTGAGTTGTGCCGTTATTGCAGAGCAATATCGATATGTACACACGTACCGAGGTTGGCGAGTTATTTGCCACATCCATCAAATTTGAAGTTGTAGAAGCCGCAGAGTTTAACGTGGGCTCCAAAAATATCAGAGAGTTGTCCAGCTGGCTCGGTTCACTCAGTCTTTTGGCGCTTTGACCACTTTTTGTTGTTGCCATTCTATTAAACGCCGCCTAAATATTGATAATCGTATTACATATTCGGATTACAAATACTCAATTTTATTTTGTACTTCATTAAAAACTTACGCGGAAGGAACACCGAAGGCTATTCCATTTTGTAGTCACTTCTAATCGTGGTAATTCTATTTCCTTTGCTACATCATCCCAAAGAGCCTCCCTTAAGTTTCTGTCCCTGTATTCTCTGGACAAGTAGTTCCAAAGGCCCTCCCGTATCTGGACAGCTTCTATAAGCTGTTCAGTTTGCTGGTTCGTCCAATTGTGTTGAAGCTTCCGCACCCGCTTCTTGGTGTTGGCAATTGTTGCGCTTGAATTATCCATTTTGCTAAAATTGTAAGTCATTAATTAAGTGGTTACTCAATTTTCATCCAAAAATTACCTTTTAATGATTTGAAAGTCACTTATTTTCCATAAAAATGATTAAAATAAAGAAGTTTTAAGATTTTTGGTTATCGCGCCTATCCAACTGTCAAACATAATGAATTTGACAACATGCTGGCAAATTTATTTTGGATGTCAAATGTTGCCACATGTGTTGATTGACATCCAAATATCCGTTCTCATTTGGACGTCATTTCACTGAGCCAAATATGTCGTCACCTAAATGCCAACTGTTGCCACTGAATATGCCATAATGAAAACCAGCCTTAAGAATTCGTAAGTCAGAGGTGTTTTTCCAAAAACTAGTTCGAAAGGACAGTAACCATGGACTGAGGAAGGTGTTGTATTGTAACAATACGAAAAGTATCTAAGGTATTCATCCCAATCGTCCTTGTTAATGGATATGTAGGAACGCACATATTCATTGAATGTTCTATGACTGCGTTCAACCGTGCCTAAAGTTTGATGATGGTAAGGTGTTGAGGTTTTTTAAAAGTTTACATAATTCTTGAAATAAATTATTTTTATATTCGGTTCCCATATTTGTTATGATTGTTTTCATACATCCATATATTAGAATGAAGTTTTCGAATATTGCTTTAGCAACTGTTTTTGCGTGTTTGCTTTTTATTGGGATTGCAATTAAATATTTAGTTAGATCACATACAATGGTGACTGCATATTCGTTTCCGTTTAAAGATTTCGGAAATGGTCCAACTGTATCGATCTGTACTGTATCAAAAGCTTTTGGAGGTGTCTCCGTTATTATCATTGGTTCTTTCAGGTGTGTATTGATTTTATTTTTCTTACAGTTAATGCATTTCTTGACATATTTTTTAATATCATTTTTCATATTTTTCCAGTAATATTTTTGTTTTATTTTGTTGGTCGTACGATTGATTCCTGGGTGGCCACCATTAACAGGATCATCGTGATATTAGTGAAGAATCTTTTTAATTTTTTCAATATTTATCACATGCATAACCTCCGGAGTTAATGCAATAGTTAAGTTTTTGAGAACTTTGGTACCTATTTTTATAAATTTATCTACTCGAGTATAATTAAACAATTTGTCTCCTAAGGACAACTGTATTTTTACAAGTCCTAAATTGCCGGCTTCTTTCATAAGCCTGGTAAAGAATTGTCCTAAGTCAATTTTCGCCTCAACAATTAGGTTGCTTGTATCTATTTCGCTACAAATTTTCTTTCCTGTTTTGAAATATAATTTCGGAGGAACAAAAAAGAAGCCCGACATGTCTTTTAACTTCATATTTATTAAGCGCTTCATATATTACAGGGTTCTCATTGTGACTTGTCTTTTCTTCTTTGTTAATAGGTGCGTTCGTTTAAAATCTCCAGCAGAAACCAACCAACTGCCAAATTCCGGCGAAATGTCATTTGTTCTCTCACAAGAGAGAAATATCCAAAATAGTACGCGAACAGAAAATTTGCAGAAACTTGCAAGTTAGACGAACAGCTGATATAATTTTTGTTTACATACAAAAGTGTAAAATTTAAAACGTACGAAAAGTCATCGCAAAGTGTTATACTGACACAGTTTATTGATTAAACAAATAACTACTTATTTCTTACAAGTTTAATTAGTCGCATTTTGTAATTTTTATCTTCCAAACCATCAAATTCAATTTTGTGATTTGCGTAAATGCCANTGCAAGTTTTTTGCGTACGCGAACGCAAAAACCTGTAAGTTTTGGTTAAACTTGAACAATTAACAGCTACGCGAACGCACCTAATGTTATCACTGGTTGTTTGCTTAGTTTCCGATCTTGTCGTAACTTTCATTATTTTG